CCTGATCTGCCTTCTGTCACTGTAGATTAGTGGCGTTTCAAGAGGAGCATTTATATATTTTTAAAAAGATTCTTCAGAGTTTTAACTCCAAAAATTGCCAAGAAAGTTAGATTCTACGAATTGCATCATCAGCAAACACTGAAATCTGTTCATTCAATATTGGCTTCCTTCTGTATTCAATGAATTATCTTTTCTTTAAAAATAGCTTGAAAAAATAGTTTGGTACCTGCAAAACTTTGATCACTTTTTTTCTTTTTTCACAGGTGGTGCTTTGCATATCGGTTGACGTATCTCAAGACTATAACCAAGTAGAGAATGTCATAAAACAAGTAAGAGGTTGGGCTAATTGAAATTCACCAATGTGCTTGACTTTTGATTTGTTCTTGCCATTTTGCTATGTGGCTTGGAATGGGCACAACTTCTCTATAGGTTTAATAGTTTTGTAAATTTTATTTATCAGCATGGATTTGCTGCTGAGTGGTTTTTCTTCTCCGTTTCTTAATGCCTGCTCTGCTACATTTTTCTAGGCACAGGAGAAACTGGGTCCAGTGGACATGCTTGTAAATTGTGCAGGAATGGCAATGTCAGGAAAATTTGAAGATCTTGAAGTTAGTACCTTTGAAGTAAGTAAAAATGTTTACTCACCGGAGTAGCACATACACTAAAAGCAGAGCAAGCCACGGGTAAAAGCTTTAAGAATCAATTAGATGAATGCATTCAGATGTCCATGGAAGCTTTAGAAGACTCTGGAGGAAGGCTGAACAAGGTGAAGTTGAGCAAGGTTTTCGTTCCAGTGTCATGACCATTGAACCTTAAGAGTTTAGACATTTTATAGCTGAGAAAACCAGCAAAAATGGGAATAGAACTTCTGATCTGACACAGATTACTGTAGCAATTCACTGAGGTCATATTTTCAAGAGAGTACTTTGTAACCTGAGAGATGCTGGATCATGTCAGACATCAGTATTATTAACAAGGAGAAACCAAAAAAGTTGAAGAATAGACTCACTAGGGTTCTCAAATCAATATAAAAAGATACTGCATCTTATTGATGTTTATATTTTTAATCAGGTTTACCAAGGAACTTCTCTTGGTTATTTATTTCAGCACCAAAGAAATGAACATTAGATTTGAAATTTTTTTTTTTTT